CCGGACCAGGGCCCGGCCGGCCAGCCGGCAAGAAAGGGGGGCCCGCCCGGTCCGACAGGGGAAGTCCGAAGGGGCGACACGACGTGCCGACGAATACGCGAGACGTGCGCACACGTCGCTCGAGAAGGTTGAGAACGGAGCGACTTGGAGGAATAATGAAATTTTGCAAAAATCTTTTCGCTGCTCACGATTGTAATAAAGAAAACACATCGGCGATACGTCGATTGATATACAGGGCGCATTCTACAAACTTTTTTTCCTATTTTTATAAGAACTTCCGATCATTTAATGGTTCTCATTCGTGAATGAGAATATAGATTTTACGAGTATTCTTGTTTAAAATAGCGTTACGAGAGAATAATTGTATTGTATAAGTGACTTGTGCTATACACTATACAGAAAGCAATTAGATTACTTAAACTTGCGACTACTTAAGTGGCATTACGCGTGCGACACGTGCATTATATATGTTATACCCGAAACGAAATCTTTTGTAGCACGGGCTACAATTCACGCTCGTAAGGTGTGCCGCAAAAACCAATTTAACAGCTTAATCGCAATTAACCGAAAAAGATCGGCATGCTTCTCACGCGCGGTATTCCATTATTCGAGCGCCGAGTGCGTTGCCGCGCGCCGCGGCTGCGGGGCGTGCGTCCGAGACGCGCGAGAATCGCGCGGTATTCCACGCGCGATCCATTCGAATAGCTCTGGAGTAACCTTTGGAAATCGGTAGGTATATATATGATTGTGTAAACGCGTGCCGATACGGTTTGCCGATCGCGCGCGGCCAGGCCGGCAATGCCGCGCGGAAATACTATATAATGGGGAATGAAATGCAACGTGTTACACGCGCGCGCTCTTCCGCCCTCCGCGCGCGCGGCCTCCGCTCGTCGTTGATCTCGCGGAGGACGGACGCCTACGTCTCCGTCTCCGTATAAATTAACGCAGTCGTGAAATCGCACTTGCGGGTCTCTCTCACTCTCTCCTCCCGCGCGTCGCCGGGAGGGACTCCTGTCTGGGGCAAGAAATGAATAGCCCGGTTACTTGCTCACCATCGCTCATTATTGTTCAACAGGGGCAACTTATGTGTGAGAGCGCAAGAAGGTATATATCTGCAACGCCGCGTACAAAGCGATGTACAGGGTGTCCCAAAGGTCGCGCACTTTTAATCGAGCCACAGGTGGTCGCGAGCCGAACCACGAGTAGAATAATAGCTCTTTCAAGGTCGACGATCGGAGGAATGCGACGGAAAGCGAGATTTCGCGATATCGCTGTTGCGGGAGCTGTTCATCGTAGGGGCAAAAAAAACGTAACTTTTGATACGCTCGATACATCGGCGCCCCAGCCAAACGTCTATCCAGCAGCTAATAATTATACCGCGGTGAGTTTGCGAAAGTCTCCGCGGTTTCATTTCACGAAGGATCTCTGGGCGATTTTCGTCTATATCGTTACGTGGATATTTCAGACGTCGGCGGGAAACGTCGTTATTAAGAACTTCACCTATGTTATACGCTCGAAACACGTCGCGGACGCGCCAATTTATGGTGGCCGAGTAGTTTCGCATTATTATAATTTCATCCAGCTTCCGTCGCGTCTCCTCCAAGGCGCGACAATTCGCAAGACAACGCGGAAGATTCGCCGTTGCTCGCGCGAGTAAGTGGCGCATTAAGAGTACGTCTTGCACGGCACCCAATGATGCTTGAGGAGCGATACTTTTTTTCCGCGAGTCCGCAATCAGTGGGCGACTAATGGCGCAGGATATTAACTTCGTCACGTATGCGGTCGCGCCATTGGCGCGTCGCCGAGATCCGCGGATCCGCAGACGCCGCGGCGTTTATGCAGATTGCCTCTTCGTCGATTTTACCTCGTGCACCATCGACGATAAATTAATGTGGCGCAGAAACGTCGCGGGTCAAGAAACTGTTATGGGCTCCGACGCGTTTGTTCGTGATGCGTTATTATTTAAGCGTTACTGTTCTTTTCCGCCTCGGGGTACAAGTCTCCCTTCGCGAGCGTATACTCTTCATCTCCTCTCTACGACTATGGACGTAAACTCGACGTATTGAAAGGCACGGCTAAAAAGCACGGCAATCTTCATTAAAGTAAAGTAAAAATGAGCAAATGGGCATTAATTACATCGTATGAAGCGCGAACTGAAATGAAACGGAAGAGAGATAATTTTCGAGCTCATAATCTCACAGGTATTTGTTAATCCTCCGTTGCGCGGTGTAATTTTCAAATCACACACCGGTTTTTCCTTTTATTGTTCAGCCCACTTTTTATATACGTCACTTCATTTGTCGACAATTATAGATCTGAAGCTATAATATGAAAGCTCAACTCTTCGCTTCGTCTTAGAGAAGTACTTAGAGAAGCATTTAGAAGTATTTATAGGATTCATTCTCTATTTTATTCTAATTCAATTTTTTCCCCACTATATGTCAAACATTTTAAAATCAAATTAACAAATAATTTGGAAAATTAATCCGACTGTTAAGATTCGGTTATTAATAATTAATGTATTCGTTTAAAACGCATACATAATTGCATCACATACTTTTACATCTAATTTCAATATTGATCGATTGTGCAATATTCATATTCTTATGTGGAAAGTCGCCATGAAATCGGAAGATCTGGTTACAACGTGCTCGAACTCGAGGTAGGACAGAGCCCCGTCGCCGTCTATGTCGCTCTCCTCCAAAATTTTTCGACACACGGTAGCCACCTCTTCGGCACTTAGCCCACCTCGAGTCAGTTGCCGACAGGTGCGCTCCAAATCGCCCAGACCCAACACCCCGTCCTCGTCGAAATCTGTTCGCGGAAGATTACAAATTGATAGATGCGAGCAATACGAACGTTCGTCGGAATTATTGTCTAAGCGAAGACAAACGGATCACGCGCCGTTTTCTCTTCTTTTCTCTCTGTATCGAGAATAATGCGCTCTTTCACTTAAGCCTAATCGTAAAATATTTATGGGAGTTAGAATGGGTAACGAGATAAAAACGCGTAATCTACGGCGAAGGAAAAACACCCCGCTCTCGGACGAGGGTATAATTATAACGCTGCACCGCGGCAAAATCGATCGGTTGTTCCGTGCAAATATTCTCGTGCATCGTGGATGTCGTGTCTGAGCGCCGTATGTACTCCTCATCCCATGGAACAACTATAGGTACAGCGAGGTCGACCTCCACGCTCTCTCACGATCCGTACGTCCGTCCGTCCGTCCGTCCGTCTGTCCGCTCGTCTGGTTCACCTGGTGGTCCGTACCGTAAATTTTGAAGGCGTAAAAGACTTTCAAATCCCGCGGTGCTTGTTCAGAGAACACGGACAACATCTCGAGAAATTCCTCGAAACAGATTCCTTCGGAGAGGGACGTTGATTGTCCTGAATCCTGGCGTCGCGTAAAAACTTCTGAGATCCGTTCTCTAAATGGATTTTCCTTCAAAAAAAAAAAAAAAATCAGAAAATATCTAGTTAGTAAAGAAATCAAGAAAATGGAAAATTATATTTATTTTTAGCCAAAATGTAAGATAAGTTTAAATATCATTTATAGGTTTATTATAAAAATTCAAGTATTAATAACGTAATAATTGTTGAACTAGAATATAAGTTTAAAAAATTTTATATCTAAATATATATTCATTTTTAGCAAGCAAAATTATAAAATAAAGGCATAAAAATATTCATATAGCTTTCCATACGTAATAAATAATAATAAAGTTGTCATAAATATAAGGTTGTATGCTTAAAATAATTTGTACATACATAATTTAAAGTAAAATAAAATTATACCGATACATTAATTTAAAATAATTATATAGATTATATCTTTCCAAAGAATAGAGATGTCTATAAAATAAAATTTTTAATACACGTTATATATAATGTATGTTATTAAAATTTTATTTTACATTTTGTATATATATATATATATATATATATATATATATATGAAACTTATATCAAATTTTTGTGTTCAAAATTATTTTAATATTTGAAATAAACCTTTAGTTCGGGAATACGGGCCAAATACGACAGGGGTAATCGAAGAGACGATGCTTCTTGCGGCGTCATGGTACGTGGTATCATTCCAGGATCTCCTATTTCTCGAAATCTCTTAAATATTCTGTAAAAAATGAAAGAAATTTCAATAAAGTAAAAAAATGCAAACGAAGATACTACCTCAAGATTTCTTTGCGTGTGAAAAAGGTACAATCTTGATAATCTTCGAGTTGTTCTTCGGTAAATGTCGCCACTTTATTTCCCATCGCTCTCTTATTAATTCTTTTTTTTATATATTGTTATAATGAATTCCAAAATATTATTTTTTTTTTACTTAAGAGACAATTTTTTATTAATTTTTTTCTTTTAACAGAAAAATATAATAAAAAAATAAATTTGGATAAAAATTTAAAAACTTTTTAAACCGGATTCAGAAAGGCTGTTACATTTGCGAAAGAACAGCGAGAACTGAGTTTTCACATCCCCGATGTCCGATACGAAATCGTGCAATCTAATAACTAGGGTGTGTCTCGCCACTCCCAACGTCAGGGACGTTTCGATCTTAAATTTACGAGAAACTATGACCTACTTATATACTTTGCTAATTATGAACAGCAATAATTCTTTTCTCTTAATATTAACATGTAAACTCTCTCATATTTAATCCTCTATAACTAGACTTTATTTATGATAAAAAATTATAATCAAATTGGAAATTGATTAAAAATTGAGACTTAAAAAATATAAAGTCTGTGTGCGAGATAATTTGAAGTATGGCGTTACAGAGGGTTAATTATATATTAATCGCATTTATACAATTGTAGAAGAACGTTATATTTTTCAATCTTAATCGTACAAACTAGATCTATAAGCGTTCTCATAACTCTATTACAAAAGATTTTATCGTACAAAAAACATCGCAAATGTAATCACAAAATATATATATATATATATATATATATATAATAAATATTAGAATTATTAAAATTATAATATCCCATTCATAAATTTAATAATTCCTTAGATGTAATAATCTTCATACGCCTCTTTACAATCAACTAAATTATGAATACATTCCGTAAATTCGTCTTCCTCGAGTCCGGAATCCGTAAAGGCATGAAATTTTTTGATACTTCTTATCCTTTTGGTTTGCTTAAGTAGAGATTCGTACATCGTTGCGACATAACTGCCACTGTGCATTCCAGCCATTACCGCAACCGAGTTTACATCTGAAAGAGAAAGCGAATGCAGTTATTTATCACTATTTAATCACAACGCTGTTTTTCGTACTTATGAGAAAAGACGTACCGGTTCCTACGGGCCAGCCGGCGATATTTCCATCCTTGGTTACATTATTATTGAAAATCTTTGGATACGGTAAAGTGATTTTCAGCGGTGCCTCAATGTTGGATAAATACGTAGCCGACGCGTGACACGTACACGCTAGATACATCGTCATCATTTCGTGTACGCTGGAGCATCTGTACGCCGGTTTGGACATTTGTTTGCTAGCTTCGTGAACGGGTCGCTTTATCCGGTCCTCGGGAATTCCCCGTAACGCTATACTCTGCATATTATTATCCATCGATATGTCGCAGCTCGGTGTCAAGCTCGTCCACAGAGACCCTTCGAATTCGTCCAGCACGTCTATCAAATCCATCTTCATCTTCATGGGAAACGGCAGGCTCAGACTGGTTGCCGCGGCTTTGCGGCCCAGCTTGTTCAGATCGGCACACAAATCGGACAAGCTGGCGCCCGGATACTTCTTAGTTCTGTATCTTAAGCTCAATGTGTCTAAAGCAGTCGCTAATATCGCGCTGCTGTGATACCTCAGCTCTGGACTGTACGTTATGTTCTCGAATTTACGTGAATCGGCCGCGAATGGCCAACCGACTTGACCGCAGGAAAGCGGACTAAAAAGCGACGAATTCTCTCCGATATGCTGCCAGCATAATGCTGTATTGACAACTTTAACCAAGTCCGACGCACTGGGCTCAGCATCGTTAAAGTCCAGGCATGGAAATGCCAAGATACTCTTTCCATACTCATCACGTAAGTGCTGAACGCAAGACGCTCCAAGACCAGCAAAGCCATCCGTAGAATCCATAAGCACCTATTTTTTTTTTTTAGATATTACATTAGTAACGACACAATTGTTTTAATAATAAATAAAAAATGTTGCGAAACAATATATAAATATGTACCTGAATTCCTTGCATTAAGTCACACTCTTCTACGTATAATCGTATCCTGTCCGCAAAATTGTCGGAGAATTGTTCCGTAAGCCATAAGTCACGGCCATACGTAAATATATTGAATGGCCGTTGCGTACAATTGTGTGAGTACTGTTTGACAACCGTTACTGTTCTTGGATGGAATTGCGGTACAAGATAATCGACCCATGACTTCACGTCGCTTTCGAAGTTGTAAATTTCCGAATCCACGGTTTTATCAGATTCATTCAAATTTTGAACAAAAGGTGATCTAGGACTAGGCTCGGCATTCGTAATTTCCAATTTTGTGCTATCCCATAGCAGCTCATCATTTGAAGATTCTGCATCGTATAAAGAACCTTGTTCGTTCAGGTAGCCTAACGCTCCCTTTAAATCTGCTGTCAGTAATCTTGGCGTAAACGTAACTTGTTTCTGAAACACAACTGTCCAGTAGTAATTACCATTTTATAATATCAGAATATGTATATTAATAATATAGCTTCTCAGACATGCGATGAAATGAATTTTATAATTCTAATAATTTATTTAAAATTATATGGAGTAAATTATAAAAAAAATATGATACATGACATCTCCATTACTGATTTCTTTGCATTTACTTCATATATTTTAAATATAAATATAAAGGTTACGTTCATTTAAAAAATTCCTATTTTTTTTATTGAACAAAATATTGCAATTTGCATTTTTGATAAAATGTTTTAGGAATCCTTCGTTATTTGATCAAATTGTATATATAAAAATGTTAATACTCCAAAAAATGATTCCAAGTACATTAAATATGACTTTGTATTCTTATAATTCTAATCCTGGGAATAAAATTGCTATACAAACAAATCTTTTGGAAGATTACAACATTTCTAATGCCGTCTAAATACATTTCTGTTACCTATCTATAGAGGCAGCAAAACATATTTAAAACAATCTTTACTTTTACAATTATACTTACTCGCATGTTTTCTCCTTCTTTGTATAGTACATCATGATTTATCTCGGATGGTTTTTTCGGATCGTACGTGAAGTTACACTCCTGCAAAACAAGAATCTTGTGATATAGGTATACAATGATCTTTATACACAGACTGTGGTCCGTTTCATGCATGATGCATCATTTTATTCTTGTTGTTCACTGAATGTTGAAAGGATAAAATGATACATCGTGCGTATCATGCGTGAAACGGAACGCAGCTCTGGAGCTTCTCGTATGTCGAGGCTCATCAAAACATTATAGCCATCGATACCTGCAGATTCCACCAATGCGTGCCGATAAAATTCGAATAATGGCCCAATTGAATGGTCAAGATCTCTCGTGTTGTCATATTTGTCGAATTTATATTTTGTTCTTTACAAAACAATATATATTATCCCTCTCTCTGTCTCTTTCTCGATCAGCTGTAAAAAATTTTTTTATTTATTTTGATTAACTTTGATTAACGAAGACAATTAGACCTTAAACTTGCTTCAATCTATCTAAAGTGTGAAATGTTTTCTTTGTTTATTTTCCTAGTTGGTGAAGGTTAAGGTTAAGATACTTTCAATTTGTTTTAATCATTCGTATGGTTATAGCATATAAATTCGTATACATACCAAGTATAAAAGCTTTTTTTTAGGAGTACCCCTTGGATGAAGGGAATTAAATGTTCAACTTCTTGATTACGTTATAAGAGATACAAAATCTTCCTCCAAGACTTCTGAAAGCTAGCGACAGTACGGCACACGATGCATGCTTTTGCTGAATTGCTCCCGTTTTAGTAAATTACTAGAAAGTCTGCGGCTGCGTTCGAAAACATCACTCGAGTGTCTCCGTGTATCATTTTATCCTTTTTGTTCACCAAATTGAACAAGGATAAAATGATATACGGCCATATACGGGGACACTCGATGATGTTTTCGAACGCAGCCTTTGATGATGATGGTCACGTGGTCAGTGACGTATGCATATAAAAAATGTTCATATGAAAGATTTCGCGGGGAGATCCCTCATCTCTCATCACTGCACACTGATGTATCATTTATCCTTGTGTTCACTGAATGTTGAACAAAGATAAAGGATAGATCACTTCAATGGAATGATCCATTATCGTTATCGTCGCCATTCTCTCTGTCGTCGCATAAATGAGCGCACGTTAGGAAGAACGAAATACATACTTTTCATAAGAAAGGCCGGCAATACATTCCCTTTGATCCATAAGCTCTAACAGGTATTTAAGAAATATATTAATTAATAATATTAATTATATAAAGTGGACATATAACTATGGTGACTACATGTTCTTTATTGTAAAAAATAGTCCCGATAGCTGTCCCGATATTTCAGAGAGCTGTCCTTTAAATTTATTTATTTTACACAAAGCTCAACTTTGTCTTTTATTTTAGTAATTACGGGAAATTTTTTTCTAATTAGCCTGCTTATAATGACGTACTGATATGAGCAACATTTTACGGAAACAATCGACCATTTAGTGAATGCAATGTAATTTCTTTTGTCTTTTAAATTAATTACACTTTTTAATTTTTTTTATTAAACTTATTTAAAACCGTTTTTATTATTTCAAACTTATTTCGGATTTAAACTAATACTACGGACTATATTATTATTTTAATTTGTAATAATGTTCACATAATTTTAGGAATTTTGTATGCTTATTAAAGCTCTAAGGAAAAGCAATTAAAGTGACAAATAATGTCAAGGACATTATTTGTCGTCCTTTCAACGTAGGTGTTACCTAGGCAACACGTATAGTGTCATCACATAAGAATTGAACAGTCGGCTTTTGTAGAGCTTTTGTAGAAGAGCAGAATAGGATTTTGTGTTACCGTGAAAATAATAAATGAGCCACGATGTCGTTTAAAATTGATTTTGAAAATTTTCCCGAGAGTGATATAACATTAACGACCAAGTTGGTCGGTCATTTTAGTATCGACGGTAATAAGAAATATCAAGACGACCTATCACAATTAAAGTATTACATTCCTCCTTTCAATCCTAATGTGCATTTCGATCTCAATAAAAATTATGAATCTACGATTCTCAAATCTACTTCGTATGTAAAATTGGATAATATATTAAGATGGATTTCGGATAATTTTAATCGACTTGAGAAACCACTATCAGTACAGGACAAACGTTGGTATGTTGAAAAATTATTATCATTTAACTATAAACTTGTGTGTGCACAATACATTATTTAAATATACAATTTTGTATTATTTATAATAAATAACAGAATGGAATTAAAAACGAATGTACTAATTATTTTGATCTAGTAGATTAAAAGAGACGTGATTATAAGGTAACTCCGGCTGTACGCTGTATCTATCTTATAAAATTTCTTAAGTATTATTTATTATGTTTAAATAAATAAACTATTAATAAAAACTTTACACCGTTTACTACTATAAAAAAATTAACAATTCGAAATATTTATTTGTTATATTTAGAAAAAAAAAACTTTTAAAAACTTTTGCATTTTTGTCGTATATCCTATTAGGGGTGGGATACGGATCATAAAATTTACAAATAATATATGCCTATAAATAAGATGTAACATGACACAGTAACTTGTAAAATGTGTTTATTCAAAGTTTTATTAGAGAATACGAATTATAATATATATTGCCGATTTTGTGCTTGCGCAAAGTATATAAAGTGCACGTACTTGCATGTCTACTGATATCTGCATATGTTAACTGCTTTATTAATAAATAAATGCAAGATATTATTCTTATGTGTGTGTATATATAAGTTATATACATATACGAATAATAGCTTGCATTTAAGAAGTCAATACATGCAGATAGCTACATGTTCTTTGTATGCTCTGCACAAGCGTAAAATCGACGACATAAATCGCATACGTTAAAAATGCCGTATATGCTATAAATAGGTGGGATATACTAGACATCAGTTTAAAAAAAATACAAAACTAAACATTTATATATTTTGCTATACGCCATCTTTCTGTCTCTTTATATTTATATACGAAATAACCATTAATAAGTTTTTTACAATCTCTACTGTATTCATTTTACATAAAGTGTATAATAGTACGTACGCAGTTGCGCTTACATTGAGAAATCGATTCAACTCACAATTTCGTTAATATTAACAGTAAAAAACTGAAATCACAATACTAATATAATACAAAGATATATAAGAGATGGTTGCGTGCAGTTTACTTTCACTACTATTTAATTTTTCTGACTTTGCGGCGTAAATTCTAGCGCGACGTATCAGTTACCCTATTTTTTTCATTCTGCTATTTCGATAGTTTACAAACGATGATAACCTAGTTAGTACGTATACATTAAACCTAAACAAATTATATTTACAATTTTATGTAGCACTTATTCTAATTAGGAAAATAATATTGATTATAGGTTGGATATTGATTTCATTTGTTCTCGTGGGACAATAAAGACAATATTATCTAGTCCATATATTGAAAGAACCGGATGGATTATTTGTGCCAGTAAATACCGTGGTACAATATATTTATGTGAATTTTATACGGATGAAAAAGAACATGATCACGTTAACGCAACAACGTCAGAAAAACAAATTTCTTCACTGGGATTTAAGTTTGAACAGTATATGGTAGCAGGTATTTTATATTATGAAAATTTGATCATGTATTATTTTTACTTTAAATATATATAACAAAATGGATTATTTCTTAAATTTATATAATTAATTCAATTAAATAAACTTTTTGTTAGATCATCCATTACATGAACCGGATACATCAGTAATTCTTAATACACGTGAAGCATTTCATTGCATGTTCGAAACAAACTTTGATAACCATTCAGTATTATATGGGGCAGAAATAGATGGCATTTCCTCTCGACAACCTTTTAAAATAACGAATACACTTATTGATAAGCTTGATAAATTTGAATTAATTGAGTTGAAAACATTTCCAATGTGTAACAAAGATGGAAATATAAACGGTAAAATTTCCCGTGAAAGAATATCAATGTGTTGGAGTCAGAATTATTTCCCACAAATAAATAGAACTATATGTGGATTAAAAAACAAATTTAACATAGTGAAAAAGATAAGAGAATATTCATCATATGAATTACCACAGCTTTCAGCGGTAAATAGTTCTGTTTAAAAAATCTCAATCACTTCTTTTTCCTTACGTCATAATTAAAGATATATTGATGTTAAATTATATTGCAGGAACCTTTTGATACAAACAAGTGCAAAATATTTTGCAAGATATTCCTGGACAATGTCAAAAGAATTGTCACTAAAGATCATAATAAGTGCATGTATAAATTTTACTGGATGCCATTGGCCAAGAACGTTGTAAATTACAGTGAAGAAGCTCCTAACAATGAAAAATATTTCTTTTTGAAGCAATGGTTTGTTCATAAAGCAGATGAATGCAGGAGACTTCCTCAGTAAATATTGAAGTCTAATATTAAAAAGATATTTTTCATATAGGTAGAGGAAGATATTATATATGCATATGAATGTAAGAAATATGTTAAAGACAATGCATACACTATTACGCACAATGTATATATCTTAAATATGGTGTGTGTTTTCTTTTATTCTTCTTTAATTTAGTGTTTGAGCCGACATGACATTTGATACTATATAGTATCAACGTATATATTCATATAATGTATAATGCAACAGTATAGTAGTGTTTAAAGTACACGGAGAGAATTTTTTTTAAATTTACCCTGCAAATCATGTTAATTATGAGACAATATAGTATTTAGGCAAATTTTACTGTGCACTACAATAAGATTTCGCAGTAAAATTTATTGTAGTGCACAGTAAAATTTACCTAAATACTATATTGTCTCACAATTAACATAATTTTCATGGTAAATTTAAAAAAAAAATTCTCTCCGTGTACGTATACATTGAAAATAATACAACTTGGATTTTATTTGTTTAATTTGATACAATAGTTTTTTTCGAGGAATATTATTTTTTTTAGTTTTT